AAAGGCCCCCCCCCGCCCCCCCAGGAACTGGCGATAAACTCAGGGAGGGCGTTTAATCAGACACACTGTAGCCTGACTAGACTCCAGAAGAACCTCGAAGGAGCCAGGCGGCATTGCAGAATCTGTGGAAGCCACAGCCTCACAGATGGCACTCAGGACGTGAAGCCTCAGCGCCAGCGAAGCCAGGATGCCACTGGTTTCCTCAGCCTGGGAGTCGATGAGGAGTGGGAAACACTGCATGGTTAGTGCTGGTCGTGACACGTGCCTCAGCCGACTCCGAGAAACCAACGTTCCATGGGAGAGGCGAGCGGACGGGAAACCCCTTGGAGGCAGCCCCTCACCCCTCCTCACAGCCTGGGCTGCAGTGCCCTGATCTTTCTCTTTGGGTTTCTTCCTTTTCAGAAGCGAAGCCTGTGGAGATGTCGCTAATCAGAGAAGAAGGAGAAGAGGAAAAGGGTACACAGCCCAAACCTGAGCAGGGAGCAGCATCAGGAGGAGAAAAAGAGATAAGAGCTGAAGAAGAAGCCGAAGAAGGCAGCGACGGTGGCCCGGATGGCCCATGCGCCCCAGGCGCCATGAACGACGAAAACCACGAGGCCAGCGACGATAGTGGCGGAGAACCCGGAGAGCAGAGGCAGGAAGAACAGCCCCTTCAGGCTATCGTCCAGCGTCAACAGCCAAGGGACAGGGAGCAGGTGGTCCAGCGCCCCATGCTCACCCTGGTCCAGGTGCAAGAGCTAGAGCGCATTTTCCGTTACAACGCCTATCCCAACTTGTTTATGAGGTAAACGGATTGCTGGGGGTGGGGAGGAGCTCCCCTGAACTTTAGATCTAGGATGGGGTGAGCTTTGGGAATCAAGGTAAAAAATTTAATGCAGTAATCAATAAATCAAGTTAGGAAATTGTCCATTCGCTTTTTATATAAAAACCGTTCTTTTGGAACCAGAGCAGGGATAAAGTGAGTATTTAGACATGGGGAAGGAAATGCAAGATTGGATCATACTTTTATTTAAAATTTTGAAAATCTCTTCTTCATGGATTATATTTACATTAATTTAAATATACATTAAAATATCCTTTATCTTGATTACTAAATTTTTATTTTCCTTTGTGCCTGAGATAGAATTATCCCTAAAGCTAGCCATGGGGGATGGGTAGGAAGTTTCATTGGATAAACCTTTTAAAATAACATGAAATGTACATTTTATGTTTCATTTAATGCTCAATGCCTAATGCAATTCTCTCCTGCACTGCCCCCACAGACAGCAGATTGCAAGACGCATAGATATGCCTGAAGCCAGAGTGCAGGTCAGTAAACCTGAATAAAGCTATTTGGCAGGGCAGCCATTCTAAAACCTGCTTCAGGACTTGGACACTTGTGTTCTAGACATTCTCAAGTTGGTGTGTTTTTATTGTCTTTTCCATGTTTGGGGGCCAGAATCAACCACAATCTCTCTCTCTCCCTCCCTCACTCTCTTCCCCGCCTTCTCTCTCCCTCTCCCATAAAGTTAAATGTCCTCCAACACTTGGGAATTATTCAAATTAATGCACCAAAGAGCTGGATTAAAGAGGGTTCAATTATACTAAATTATTTAAAATATTTAAAGCCAGGCATAAACTCTGCATAAACAGTGAATTTATAAGTATTTAGGCATTGGGGTAAGGGAATAATTCACACTCAGAACACAACAGATAAGCAACTAATATATGTTTAATTAAGAGACTTATGGGAGGGAGAGAGCTTAAAATTCCAAGTGCCTGTTTCCCTTATGGTTGTTTTTACATGTTTGATAAAGGAGCGTAGAGAGTTTCAGCCCTAAATTTTAATTTTCTGGAATTCTTTGATGTACTGCTTGAATACATTTCAAAAATAGTAGGTTGTTCATTTTGGTGGAATTGGAGGAAAGGCTTGCAAATATGTCTTAAAAATGAAACAAAAAAAATAAGGTTTGGAAATTTGTCTTAAAAATGAAACAAATAAATGAATAAATAAATAAATAAATAAATTTGAATAAAATTCTCCTGACCCGAAAGGAGGAAGGACTATAGAAGAATTGTATACTGTTAGTACGTGCCTTGGAGATACTACACAAATTCAACATTAAGAAATTACCAAGTGCATACATGAATATTCTTCAGCAATTTCTAACATCTAAGGATTTTTTTCTTCCCTTTACTCAGTAAGATTCTGAAAGGACTGGTTTTGAGATTTGATTTATGATATCGATGGTTGGCTGTCAGCGAGATGCTTACCTGTTTAAAATACTTGCTCCTTTGCTCAGGTACTGATGACTAATTTGTAGCTCATGTCACAGAAACTGATTATTTGAGTCCATAGAACTAAATAACTTATATATATATATATTTTTTAAAGAAGATTAAGGAAGAAAGAAAAAAAAATCAGAATCAGTTTATTCGCTTTCCTGCACAGAGTGTATGTGACTGCAGTGGGGTGTCAAGAAAAGCAGCCCCAAAAAGGAAGCCAAAATCTAAGCTGAAATAGGAAAATGAGGCCTCAGGCACCTAGAGAAACCCCTTAGTGTGACCTGAAATATGCCATTTGGAAATCTCCAAAAGAATTTAAATACTATGTAAACCCCATTAACTAGGGCACTGAGAAGACAGGGAAGTCTGACAGTTCTGTTCGTTCGGTTGCAAAAATAGTTGGCAGATATTTAGGGAGGAGTCGTTCTGTGACCCCTTCACCCACGTGGTTGTGACTATCTTCCTAAAATGCCTGTTCCACCTCCTTGCCTTAAGGATGAAGGGTGACATGGGGATCTCCTGATGGAATAGCAGGGCTTAGGGGAAACTGCCATGCTGGACAGCAGCAGCTCCGGTCCAGGGGCCTGGAACTGTAGCCAGAGCAGAGTGAGGTGACCTGGTCCTGAGTGAGGAAGGGTTGAAGGGTGGAGCAGGGTGGAGCATGCAGAATTGACAGTAGTGACAATTATTATTATTATTATTATTATTATTATTATTTTGCCTCTTTACCCTCAAACTCTTGGCTGGGTAAAGATTTTAAGAGTTTTAATAAATTTGGGCCGAGTTAGTCTAAACATTTATTACCTCAAAAGCCTAAAATATTAAGGCAGTGTCCAGGGCTTCATCTATACTTGTGTCCCAGCAAACAAGTCACAAACTCCCTGGGCCCCCATGACCAAGCCTCCATCACAATACCATCTTTTTAACTATTAAGAGGTTTCAGATGATGAATAACCCTTTAGGCATCCTCGAAGGAAAGATTTTGGTTAAAAATCCAACAGGCTCCTGTTGATTCTTTCCACTGAAGATGACCTTTTCAAAATGGGTCTGTTTCCCTCAGCATTTTTTAAAAAGGCACCCACTTTTTACTATGTTCTGCTTCCCCACAGGACACGGACATACCGAGCATAGCAATAACAGCAGGCACAGAGAGCAATTCCTCAGCTCCACCTGCATCTAAGAGTGGGAACAAATAATATTAAAGGTGGGAGGAGAGAGAAAACAATAAGCACATAGTTGGTGCTCACTGTGGGTGAACTGAAGGGGAAGATACTTTAGCAAGAAGGAAATAGTTTTCTCTGGCGCTGTTTAAAATCTTAAGGGCATAGAGAGTTGCTTACTGTGGTTTTTTTTTTTCATGTATGACATCAAATGCTATTGTACTAAAGCAATCTCTTTTTCTCTCTGATTGAAGGTTTGGTTTAAGAATAGGAGGGCCAAGTGGAGGAGACATCAGAGGGCATTGATGTTCAGAAACATGCCCCCCGTGGTCCTGGGCCCCCCAGTCTTCATACCCCCGCGTAGACCATTCAATGCCATCTTTATTCCTCAGCCAGTTTGGATATGGGTTCTGGAGCCACTGCCGCTGGGGCCGCCTCCGCTGCCCATGCCGCCCTTTCCTCCTCTGTTTTTGCCTCCTCCGCCCTTGTTTCTTCCACCTTTGCCTCCCTGGGGCATGCCTCCCCCAGGCCCACATGGCTGGGCCTGGTTCCATACCACCAGTGGTCCTTTTATAGCCCCCATTTTCTAAGCAATGGTCTCTGTGACATTTTTTTTTCCCCCCAAAGGCTTTCGAGCCGGATTCAAATTCTGCAAACCTCACCACCAATAAAGTTCACCAATACCTGCTCAGTGCATTAAATAAAAGTACAGTCACTGACCCACTATTTTACAGCGCATTTTTGTAGTCTCAATAAAGTTGTGAATTCTCTGTATGTTTGTTTTGTGTGTCACATGGGGTTAGTAAATTTGATGGACATTGCTAAGAAAATGTCATTCGAAACAAACAGGCCCACCTTGCCCCCAGCACCTCAGTCCCTCCAGCCCCCTCCCCCCAACCCCCACCCATTCTCCACTGGGACCACGTAGATATGCAAGACACAGCGGGGTGAGTCCCTAAGGAGAGAACAGTGTTTCAAGGCAGGCCAGAGCCCCATCGGGGTGACAGCTCAGGCACAACAGAGGACTCTTAAGGGGAACTTCCTAAGAGGCTACTCACAGGGCTTTATGGACAAGTGGGAGCCGGGCATTCATCCGGTACTCTCCAAGTTCCGTTCACTCCTTCCCTTTTGTGCAGGGGACATGGGGATAGAAACCGTTCTAGCGGGAGGGTCCTACCTCTTCAAAGGTAACATAAGAAGAGGCTCCCTCTAGGCCAGCACGAGGCCCTGCTCCCTTCTCCCACATCCCTAGACCTGGAGAGCATATTATTACTGCTCCTTCCCCAGCTCAGAGCTGACAATCAGGCCTTCGAGTGTATTTTGTCACCTTCAGCAAACCTGAGAGAACCCTGCTTCCAGCTAATTCAACACCGAAAGGGAACCTCTTAATTTAGTGCTGTCTGAAGCAAGGAGAGAGTCCCCTAGCAATGATCCACAATAATCACTGCGTTTAAAAGGACCTTGGCTTTGTCCATGCTGCCTTCTTCACGTGGAATTGTCAGGATAGAAAACACACACATATACATACAGATACATATATATGACATGGTATGCTCCCTATATCATACAATACGCGACATACAAACACATCCAGAAAACACCCGCAACACAAGCAGAATTGGCTATTATTAAAATGGCCTTTCCGTGAAATACATCTTGTGGCCCGTCGTCCTTGCCTTCAGTTACTTCAAGTTGAAGGCTGGGAAGGGACATGGCTTCCTTTCCACCTTGGACTTGGGTAGGGGGAGGGGCTCATGCGGAACCCAAGCAGTGTACCTGTTTGCCTGGCCGTTTCGTTTACACCGACACACACAACACTTCTGGTTGCCAGAACAACCCCAGCCAGCCCTGGGGAAGAGTTTTGCGGATGGACCAAAACTGTTCCTCGGTTCCTTCAGGTTTGGGCGGGGTGGGGTGAGGTGGGGGTGGGGGCCCACAGCCGATCCGAGATCGGGGTCCCCTCCTTCTCAGGCGCGGCAGCAATGGTTCCAGTGCCTTGCCTCGGGATCAGAGAAGCATAGCCTCTCTCTGAAGATCCCCAAGCCTAGCAAAGCCGTCCGCCGCACGCGTGGCCGCCGCTCTCGCTCACATTCTTCCCTCAGTCCTGAGACCTGAATGGCCTCAGCCATCATTTGTGGGGCCTCAGCCCTGGATCCCAAAACCAATCCTACAGCTTCCGCTCAGGAAGGTGTCATTCTCAAGAGCAGTCTGAGGCACCATCCTTGCGTCTGACTCCAGGATCCGTCTGTAAATAGCATTTTTTTTTTTTGAAATCATTTCCTGCTATGTTCTTTGATGGAGATCATGCTACTCTTTTTCGTCGTGCATTTAAATCGTATCAGACGCTAGGGGGAAACTGGCTACTTTTAAGTATAACATCTGGCTTCATTGGTCCTCTGGCTTTGATTGTCTCATGACTATCCTAACGGATTTAACTACCACGAGACCTGAGATGGAATGGTGCCGT